TGTGTGTGTGTGTGTGTGTGTGTGTGTGTGTGTGTGTGTGTGTGTGTGTGTGTGTGTGTGTGTGTGTGTGTGTGTGTGTGTGTGTGTGTGTGTGTGTGTGTGTGTGTGTGTGTGTTAGTGGGGAGGTGGCAAGTGTGTAAATATTTAGATATCAGCATGAAACTTTCCAGCTCGATTGCTTGTATTGTATTACTAGTTTCCTGAACTGTTTAAATATGTAAATGATTCATTATCTAATGAAAAAAAATGCATAGACTTACAGAACAGAAATGTGAACACTGGATAAAGCTAGGTTCAACATTTCATTTTGTTGACATATTGGAGTTAATACACAGATGTCTGTTTTTATCACTCCATAAATGAGAAAATACTGTCAACAGCCGTAAAAAAAAAAAATTTGGCATTTAAGAATGAAATGTTGTATAAATCAGACAATTATTAATATATGAACAAACCCCTCTGTAAAATCCTCCAGAATATAGATGGGAGTAAAACTGGAAGGTGTGAAGAGATGAAGTGCAGGGGCAGATCTAGGGGTGGTCAGAGGGTGGCACAAATATACAGTATGTTGATTTAATCATAAACAATCACATATATCAATATTTAAAAACCATATTGATTTATTTCCAAATCTTCATTTTTCCTTTTTCATTGACCATAAGCCTATAACTTAAGATATGACCATAACAGATCCTTCAATTATATCCAATTATTTCCATTTTTTAACATGTAATTTTTAAAATGAATCTAAATTAATGCGTTAAATTTGACACATTTGACACTAAACAGGACTAGCAGCTGCATTACACGTTTTATGAAATGCTATATCTAAAGATGCAAATAAAGCATTATCTAATCCTAACTTTCAAAATGTAGAGATGCAAACTGACAAAGTGTAATAAAATGAATACCTAAATGTGTATTTTGGGGCGTTGTCTTTCTACAAGTCAGAAAGAAGACGTTGATGTTAGAAGAAACAATGTTTTTGCCTGTAGTATCTGGTTTTAATCAATTATTGTAACTTTTTGAAACAGACAATCGGACTAGCACTTACTAATCCTCTCTTAAGCCACCTTGTATGAACTGTATGACTATAAAAACGATAGCAGTGGTTATTTGTTCAACACTTATATATTAATACTATGTTAACACTGGCAACAGCAGAGTTAGTAGGAGATTCTTACCCTGCTGCACATCTCGGACGGGTGGCCAGGGTCAATGGTTGAGCATGGGCAGAGTTTCTCTTCTCATATAAACACATTTACGACACACAACATTAACACACACACATATGGTACATCTAGTTATAACTTCCTCCCTAGGACTGTGTTTCCAGGTGACCCGTCTGTATTCCATAACTGCTTCAAAGCAGACCTCAGACTGTCTCTGATTTATCTCTAGAGGAGATAAGCTACAGGCTTGAAGAAGCAGATCGGGGACAGCCTATTAAATGATAATAGGTACTATCACGCAAGGTAGATTTGGGAGCCTAACAGCGATTATTCCAGTTTGTCTCCTGCATTTAAATGTTCGGAAAGGTGAAGTTCTGTTGTACATTTAAATGTGGAAGGCAGATGTGCTCTGTGGTGTTCAGAACAGATAAATTGCTTGAGGCTGTCAGGAGGGTCTTTATAGGTAGGGACAGATTATCCACATATGAGATCGGACGATGGCCAATTTGCCATAATGGTAATTTTCCATTATTTTATTATATGTTATTTACTGGAAGAGATTCAGACAGGTGCAAAATTATATTTTTGATACAATACAGCCAGAGGAGGTGTGATAAGCTTTAGCCTACTACTTCTCCTGACACCTTCGCACATCTCTCGCCGTCCCTTACACACATACACCAAAAAGCACCTGGTAATCTCTCTGGTTTTGCCTACTCAGGTTACATCAGAAAGCCTGCCTGCCAAACCTCATGCAGAAGTGAAGCTGTTTACTCATTGCACCTCCACCCTACCTTCAAACATCCCTACACTTCACCCACACTCTGTCCATCCTGGTGACATGGATGATACTGTGTAAATAATATTACAGTTCATGCCAGTGACACACACAGTTCCTGAAATTGTACCTCACTGTCACAGAGAATAATGATCCACTATTACTGTTAAAAAAGGAAGAGCGAATATTAATTTGTTAGCAATCTAGCAACAGCATGGCTAGCATTTTAGAAATGGTGAGTTCATGAGCCTAACGCTGCTAGGGGGGTTTGGTGGCATGCTATACTGTGGTGTAAATGTATAAATATTAACTTTGAGAGTAACAATAATCACCAACACATGAAAATGGTCCTGTAGCATAGGGCCAGATTTTAAATTTGGTGGTAACTAACAAAAAGGACGTGTTCAATGTAAGGGTGGAAAATGTTATTTTTTCTTTGGAAAATTACTAACATGTTCCACAGATTTAGGGAAGTTGTATACATGTTGAAAACAGGCCTATAATGTCATTAAATCATTCTATACCAATACATAATAAGCTCTCAAAATAAATGAGGTATTATTGAAACAATGTGGTAATGATCACTGAATCACACAGCTCTCTTTTTATCTAATCAGCATTAGAAAGAAAAAGAAATCAGGATATGTCACATAATGTAACGAGTTGTGCACACAGCTCTTCAGCTGCCCGGCAGAAACATAAAAGATAGGAACAGACGTTTTCAATTCCTTAATATACACTTATAATGCTGCAAATCTTTTTATATCCATTCTGAAATGACCAAGGTCTGGACCTCTGTGATCTTTGTTTATATTTACTTTATATCTTTCTGGTTTTGTCACAGAAATGAATTCAATGATGAGATACTGTGTATATATTTTTTAAAGTAGTCTTACACCCCACTTTGGGAACCCATGAGTTAAATGGTTAACTTGCTGTATACACACATGCAGATTAATTTGTTTCATTGTAACAGTGTGCGGTCTGTCGATTCTGTCTAAGTTTAAATAACTTTGTCCCTTTACACCCACAGAAGAATTAAGGACCACACACTGTAGTTGAACAGAGCATTGTGTGTGGGCAGAGTACTTACCTCTGCTGCTGTGATAGATGGCCTCTGACATTAGAGTTCGGGTAGAGTCATCAGTCTCCTGGCACATGGATGAACAGCCTCTAGTGCATATACAGGTATATGCTGGTCCCCGATGCTTTGTGGAGCCTCGAGTCACGTAGGCCCCTCCATCAGCCTCTCTCCCCCAGGACAGTGGCATCCTCTGGGGCCTGTCGGTGTTGGAGGTGCCTGCGACCTTCGACCATCAGTTTTGAGGCTGTCAAAAAAGTAAAACTGCTTGCTTCGTGGAGAGAGAAAACAGAGGTTCAGCTGATATGGATGTTTGGGAAGCTTACAGTTCTGCACTGAAGCTCCCCAGCACACTTTCTAATAACTTATGATCTCATTAAAATGCAGAAACATCTTAGAGGATTTATGAGTTTGCACCTGATCCCTCATATCTGCTCAGCAGTCTGTAAAACGTGAGGCTGTTTACTAGTAAACAGGATGTAACTCTGTCTCACATCATAAATGTGAGCATCCTGGTTATGATCAGGTTTCTGCAGTATGCTGGTTATGATCTACAGAACACTATGTGCTGCTTTGGAGAAACCTTGATATGCTTGCTGGCGTACGCGGATAGAAAACAGGATTCTGTGGCACGGTTCCTGATTATTCTCTGTCATGTGTGCAGGTGTTTGATCAATATATATAATATATAATTTAGTCAGTCAGTTAAACAAGAAATATGATGTTTCAACAAGTTGAAATATAATACAAAGTACATCATAAATTGTTTGGTTGATGTTGAAGAATCAAGACACACCTGCACAAAGACGATCTGAAACCTGGATGCTGTTAGAGTCATGTAAACACGGATATGAATCCACTGTATGTGCATATCCTGAATATGATCAACCTTTATAAAAACATTTAGGCTACAGTGATACTGCGTTTTAGATGAGACAATACAAAGATAATATTACATCATATGACTGATAGATTGTATCACGTCGTCTCAGTCGCAGAAACGTCCAACCAGTTTCAGTCATCATTGCGATCATTGGAGAAATTTGAAATGCAGAGGTTAATGGATGATGCACTAACTTCTCTCTCTCTTTCTCTCTCTCTCACACACACACACACACAAGCACATACGCATACACACCCACACACACACACACACACACTAGCTAGTTTTCATCCAAATGTATTGCCAATTTGAACCAAATTTCAAGAAATTGGCAAAAGAAAATGCAAATACATGCTTGTTTTCATCCACTCCCAGACACCCCTGCAGGACTGTTCAAGATCTAATGTTAATGATTGTGACATCCAAAAGGTCCACACACAGTCCAGGTTGAAACTGGTTAAAATTGTTGAGTAAAACATTTCATCAGCCAGAGTGGATCTGTGCACAAACGCACTGCAACCATTTAGAAGCAATTCACAAGAAAACTAACTGTGTATTCTGTTGACCTAATGTTGCTATGTGTGGTATCGTTGGAAATGTGATTTTGACTGGTTGTCATATGTGGGTTTTGGCAGTCAGCTATTATTCAAGTTGAAAATGTGCATAAGGATACTGATGGATGGAACCCCACCTACAGACATGCAACATGCCCAAAAAGTTCCCTCTTGTTGTAGAATATTTCTTTTAATGTCTATTTTGTTGCTATTTTATGTGTCCGTGCTGGGATAGCATTATATGAGGAAGGAATTTCTGTGTCGTTTTCAAATAGAAGGCCAATTAATTATTAGTGGATCATCATCATATCTTCACGTGGCAGCATCCTTTGCAAATGTACTTTGCATAACAAGAATCTAACACAAACACATCTTCACATGTATCATGTGTCTATTTTCATGCTTGATCTGTCTTTTACAACATCAATACTTTGGTGTGTAAATATTCAACATTTCCTCTGAACTTCCCTGAGCTGCCTGAAAAACCAGTTTCGGCTGTAATTAATCTGTCAGACGGCATACTATAAAAGTCAGATTAAGAGATGTGTTACAGGGCAGTAGCTCAACACAGATACAGAGGTACATCCAGAGGTGAACTGCTGACTACAGACCCACAAACACAGAGACAACATGAAAGCTGTTGCAGCCTTCCTGCTGGTGCTGTGTTACCTGGCCGCCAGTCATGGTAGGTCCAATTTTTAAAAATTACAAATCTTAAATAATTTGTTGATGTCACTAAAGGTGAAATCTGAGTATTTCTTTCTTAAACTGATATATATTTTTCAGACACATCATAATGATTCTGTCTTCACAGCCTGGACCTGCAAGGAGCCCCCCTCGCTGTATGGTGCTGTACAGATTGATGCTGGGCAGGGGAAAGTGGTCGCAAGAGACAGGAACTACTATGCGTATTTCCTGAGTGGAACGACTTGGCAAAGACTGGGCTCATATCGTGCTCTCAAGCATGTCTCAGTGGGACCTGCAGGAATCTGGGCAGTTGACACCTCAAACAGGGTGCACAAATATGTAGCTGGCAACTTTAAACTATCCAGTGGTAACTATTGTTATAGAAAGCTGTATTTTCCATATTTACAGTACATACAGTTAACAGCTACTGCATACTGACTGAATGACCTGTACCTCTGTGTGCTTGTCCTCAGGTGGGTATATGCAACAGGTGGATGCTGGAGGTGACGGTCAGGTTGTGGGAGTTAATAATAATTACTATGCCTACTGTCTGAGAAGTACCTACGCCTCAGTCTACCGTGGATCAGGTTCCTTGAGATGGTCTTCCCTAGGAAGAATTATGAGGTACTACAGCTGCAGCCCACTAAACGGATGCTGGGGAGTCGACACTAGTAATCGGATTTACTTCACACAGGTTAGACACTGCGGCGCCAGTGAAATCATATATATTGTTGGTGTTGTTTTAAAGAATATTAAGCCCATTTACTCACTGTATATGACATCTCACCATGTATGCTTCTTTATGACAGAGAATAACACCAACCACCTGTAGCATCAGCGGTTGGGTACGGGTGTCAGGGTCTGCAAAAATGGTTGAAGTGGGAACTGATGGAAATGTCTTTATGTTGGGTGTAGATGGAAGAGTCTATCAAAGGTAAGCCAATAATCCATTTCTGTGCTCTCCAGTTTGCGGGTTGTTTGTGTGTATGGGTACGATGTGGTTGCAATTAAACAACCTAAAGCATCAGCAACATTCTAGTAAGTAAAATAGTGTACATACAGCAAGAGCGACAATTTAGTCATTAGAAAAACATGTTTGATAAATTCAACTGGAAATAAGTTTGAGTCGATAATGTTGCATTCAGCTTCAGTTTTCACCCTCAAGAAAAAAATAACTCACAGTTGTCCATTTAAGGATAAAACTACTTGTGTAAAATGTGTGTGACCAAAGAATTTTAAAGTTTCCTAAATCTGCTGATTATACGCTTCTGTTAAAAAAAATGAATTAATCAGGTTGAAGGTTTTAAAGATCTTTAATCCACCTCCTCTCTCAACAGAGCTGGCATCTCCAGCAGTCGTCCATACGGCACAAGTTGGACAAGAATCAACTTGTGCCTGCCCATCCTCCATGTGTCCTACGACCTGGGCAATCTTTGGGTTGTGACCACCGGTGGCAGTCTCATGCAGTGCACTCATTAGTGTGTAATCTTTCCTCTTTTACATGATTCTGTGATCCAATGAAAAAATAATCAGCATTTGATGTATGCCAATGTAAAGGCTCTAACACTCAATAATCAGGGATGGGAAAATAATTGATTCTTTAATGTTTTGTTATTCTCTCTTGAATGATTCAGCAATGATGCACCAAACTCTGTAATTGAAAAACTCTGTAGGTCACTACCTTGATGTAATGAAACATGTTGTTAACAATTCACACATGTAACATCTACCTAGTATACTTTCTGTTGCATTAATAAAATATTAAAAAAATAATAAAACCAAATTCCTGGGGCTTTCTGATTATGTATATAATTATTTTGTGTTTTCACACATTAAGAAAATAGAAGCCAAAAATGAACAATTTAACTGCAGCATTGAAGCCTTTTTAACCTCCTTCGACCCCTGCTTACCATTACATAACTTTTGATTTGCATTTTCGGGCTCATTTATATAAATATAAATATTAATCATAATTGTACATATTTTCTAACATTTTTACTCACAAGCAGTCCTACACACATTGTTAGCCTCATCTGTGCTTTTGATCACAAGAAAGAGAAATTTTGAACAAATGTAGAATTGCAAAAGGCTACCAAACTCAAATTACACAGGATTAATATTTACACTGCATATACACCGTAATAGTTATTAGGATCAAAAGGATCAAAAAGGCCTAGGTCTACAGTTTTCAGTTGTCATACATTTTAATCTTTATTTATGATTACAATATACAAGAATTCAAATAACCAGGATTAAAACTGAATTTAATACATTATACACTTTATTCAAGATACCTTTTCGCTATTGCGATATATATTTCATTCTATGTAAAATACAAAACAAAATATGTAAAAAACATAACTTAATGGTGAACGTGTGCAGATGTTTTGACTTGCGTCTTGGTTCTGATTCAGTTGCTCCCTCCCGGACATGGAGGCTAATGGGAGCAGTCAATAAAACATCTCGATTGAGGCAAACAGACTCAAAGTTCTCATGTGCTGTGATAGAACAGGATATCTAGTATATAATATATACTTGATCAGTATAATCAGATCTGTGTTTTCCATCTCAGACGTCAACACCTTTCTTTTTTAGTTGCCTCGTGCAGAATCCAAGGCTTTAGATGACAAAAGCTGTCTGTTTCTCGTTTCCTTTTCCTTGACTCTTCCGACTGCGCTTTCTTCGGTTTCTTCGCCGTATCTGCCATGATTCACATCTGAGTGAATGCCTGCTAGTGTTTTCCCTTGATGTTGTATTGTGATTATGTCGCTGATGTATGTCACGTCGCACCGTAAAACAATTTGTGATTCTCGCTAGATTTGGTGGGGCACCATCTTCAGACTTGCATTGCTGGTTCTGCCAGCGGCGTCCCTCCCCAGCGTTGCTGTAGGGATGATTCGCTATACTACGAGTTCGTTTACCATCAAAAGAACTTTGAAGCTGTTATATTAAGGTATAAATCTTGCATAGTGTGCCTTTAAGTGCTACCTCTAATGTTACAGTAGTTTTGAGTATACCCACTATACCGCTATACCACTGCAAACTGAGGGAAACACAACAATTGACTTTCCCCTCAAACAAACATCCTGGCTAGGTATTGGCTGTCATCATTCAAAATGTTTCAGATGCCTGTGGGAGTTAGCACCCAAGGCCACACCGACTCTCTGCTAAGCTTTAAACAGATCTGTTCCGATATTTGGAAATTACAGCCAGTTTCAACTGAGGACTGTGGAGAAATTCCTCACCTGGAGGCTTTGGTACTGAAATCTGTCAGAGAATGTCATGTTCAAGATTGAGTTTTGTACTTGTTTAGTTTGATCCCTTTTAACTCAAAGTTTTCCCAACCTTTACCGTAAGTGTGTAATTGTGACCCTCAACCCAGATTATGTCTACAGTTCTCAGTTTTCATACATTTTAATTCTGCTGACAAAAGCTGTCAAACTGTGTGCATATTTGAAATGAAAGGTGCAGTAAATAATTCCTCCTTCCCAGAACATCATGCAGAACCAGCTTTGGATGTAATTAACTTCAAGTTCAAAGTTTTTTGTCCCTGGAGGGCGATTGGTTTTGAAACAAGGAAACATGACATCATAGTAAGAGTAAAACAGACAATCAGTACTCAAGCATCATCATTAAAAACAACAACAACAATACAATGATTACCATCTTGCCACTCCCTACCAAAAAAAGTATGACCAGCCTCACATTGCAATCAAAATACAAGTAAAAGCGTCCAGCAGTAACAACATTATCAGAAGTCGGCATAAACAACAACAAAGCACAAACAATGTCAAAGCCAGCAGTGTTGGTGGTGAAACAAGGCCACACATTTTTACAATTGGAGAATGTAAGAATCACTTTAGGCCTACAACAATGATAAATGTAAATGTAAGTGGGAAAAAAAAACATAGCCTCAAAGCCACGGGGAGCCACTGGAGAAGGGCCTAAAGAGCCACATTGTATTTCCAGATCCTCCTTTTCCCTGCATTGAGGAGAGTAATGGATGTCGGGACGAATTTAACGAAAGTCACTGCTGGCCTCTCCTAAAAACTATTTCAATGTTACATTCAAAAGAGATATTGTGTATATGTAGGTATTTGTAGCTGACAACTAATCCCACTTTGTGACCCTCAATAATGGTGCTCTTAGTGGGGGGGACTGACTGTAACTGAGTTGTCTGCAGACTTCAGGACGTATCCCTTCTCGAACTGGTTCCGACAGTCATTCACCCTCACCCTCTGGGTTCTGTTGGAGGCACAGTCAAGGATCCAACCAGCCATACTAGAGTCAACAGCAAAGTAGTTTATCTGCTAACATGTGGCATTAAATATGTCCTATTCCTGTTGCCAAGAACAACAACCCAAATGTCCTGAATTACTACAGCCAGAAGTTCTGTACAAAACCCATTTCTTTCTTGATCTGCTTCAGTTTGCATACAGGGCCAGGGCTTACTATTTGGGTAACTCTTCTCAGTTCCGCTGTACTGTATCCTCACAATAAGACACCCAGGACCTAACAACATCTGTAAGTTCATCAGTGTCATTACTGGAATCAACTAACACCTACCAATCAGTACAGTCCAGTGATTCCTGAAGAGTCAATGAATCGGGTCTTGACCCAGATTGTGTGCAGGGCTTTGCAATACACCAGGATGAGGTGCATGCATGCTGTGGAGGTCATGCAGAGGTAAAGATTTGTATGCTCCTTTGACAGACATGAAACACAGGTCTAGGATCTTATGTCTTGTCAGGCATGTCACATATTGATAAAAGTTCCTCTAGGTTTTAGTCAATGTGCAATCATTGAAGTCACCAAGTACAATTTTGGGGGCATCAGGAGACAGAGTTTCTGTGTCACTTGCAAAACCGTCTCTGTGGACATTATTCACATATGCGTTTGGATTAATATAGACCACCGTAAGACAGTCTGATTTCCCTAACAGGTATGGATGTGTGATGACTTTACAAGTTGACATTCTAAGCAACACAAAAACAAACACATCCTCTTGCTTTTGAGGTCAGCACCCTTCTTTTTTGTGACTTGTGCAAAATGAGAGCATCTACCTGACAAGCTGTCAAACCGGGCACATATTTGAAATGAAATAATTCCCCCTTCCCCGAAAAGCCTGCAGAACCAGCTTCAGTTGTAAACATCGTCATGAACACATGGTTCAGACCCACGCGTCTAGAGTATAAAAACAAGACAAACCAGATGGGATGTACGACAGAAGCTCAACACAGATACAGAGGTACATCCAGAGGTGAACTGCTGACTACATATCCACAAACACAGAGACAACATGAAAGCTGTTGCGGTCTTCTTGCTGGTGCTGTGTTACCTGGCTGTCAGTCATGGTAGGTCCAGTTTAAAAAAAAAAAAAAATGAAATCACAAAATTATTTGTTGAAGCTGAAGTTAGAATATATTCTTCTTTCATTAAATAGATTTATATTTTCTGGTCACATCAGTTACATTCATTCAGATTATAAAGTATTACAGCTGCAGCCCCCTACACGGATGCTGGGCAGTCGACACTAGTGATCGGTTGGACACAGGTTGGACACTGCAGCACCAGTGAAATCTTATAAGTGCGAACTACAGGGGAGCTGGCTGTAGTTGAGGTGGGGACTGACGGAAGTGTCTTTTTGGTCAATCAAACTAGCCATGTCCACCAAAGGAAAGCCAGTAATCCTGAAGTCTGAGGGGACTCTACAGTCCTGCTCACCATCATTGGCACCCATGAAGTTTAAGTACATAATGTGGAATATCTTCTGAAAAAAATGAATCAGGTGAAACATTTCTGTTCTATAGAGAACTAGAGAAGGTTGATACAAAAGAGCAAATGATTAATAACAATTTAAAACAATAAACAATGGGAGGAAAAAATAGAAAAACCTAAAGCTTGCTGTGTCACTGGTATTGGCACCCTTTGCTGTAAATCAGTATGGAAACACATTGTGACTCACCTGTGGTAAATCACAAATGAGAATCACCTGTGATAAATTGTCTGTGCCCATATGACATGAATTAGCCAATGAATGATGACTTCCGTGTCTTAAAAAGCCATATGTTATCCCCTGTTCCTTTGTCACAATGGTGAAGACAAAGGAGCTGTCTGAGGACATCAGAAGTGCGATAATTAGCAAACACAAGACCTCCAAAGGTTTTAAGGCCATCTCCAAAGACTTGGTATCCCTGTTTCAACAGTGTGTTATGTTATTTAGAAGTTTGCCAAGCATCGAACTGTCAAGAACCTCCCTGGACGTGGGGGGAAGAGAAAAATTGATGAGAGAAGTCTTCGAAAGTTGGTGCGAATGGTGGACAAAACACCACGTCAAACATCCAAAGACTTGAAGGTCAACCTGGAACAGTCCACCCGATGAACAGTCTGGGGTCATGGTTTCAACAAGTACCATACGCCGCACAGTAAACCAAACAGGGCTTTATGGGCGAAGGCCAAGGAAGACACCATTGCTGAGGAAAAGACATAAAAAGGAACGACTAATCTTTGCCAAAGAGTACCTGCACAAACCACAATCCTTCTGGGAAAATGTTCTGTGGACAGATGAAACAAAAATAGAGGTTTTTGGCAATGCACACCAACAGTTTGTTTATAGACGGCACAATGAAGCCTACAAGGAAAAGAACACCCTACCAACAGTTAAGCATGGTGGGGGATCCATAATGCTGTGGGGCTGCTTTGCTGCATCTGGTACTGGAGGCCTTGACCGTATCACAGGAATCATGAAATCAGAGAATTAGCAAGAGATTTTAGAGCGAAATG